AGAGAGAGAGAGAGAGAGAGAGAGAGAGAATGAGAGAGAGGTAGGTAGGTAGGTTTGGCTAGGGTTTGGGTGTCTTTTTCTTTTTAACGTCCCTTAGCAGATTTTGCAAGTGGAGAAGACACTGAGACCTCAAATCAAATGTTGCAACATGGTTGGGGCTTGGATTCATTTCATTCGATCACCCCCAATTTCATACTTCCTGACCCCACCTGAGCAACAATCAATCTAGCTTTTTTTGACCCTGGAGCACGCTCATTCTTCATTGAACTGATTTGAACACTCCTGGAATAAAACTAGAATTGTGCTGTAAGAGGTATCAGTGGGTGGATAAGCTACTGATAGTTAGCAGTTGTGATGCCTATGCATTTTGATTGATTATCTGCCATAAAGCTGGGGTTGTCTCTTAGCAACCACAGAGGCAGATTTTCTACAGGATGATCTGTCCTTGACCTGGCCCTTCAGGTCTTCCAATGGTGCATTCATCACCACTGTAACTGAGTCCATTCACCTTGATGCTGGTCATCCTCTTCTCTTTTCTTCCACTTTTCCCAGCATTAGAGCCTTTTCCAGAGAGCTGGGTCTTTGCATAATGTGCCTGAAGTAGGATAATTTGAGCCTGGTCATTTGTGCCTTGAGTAAGAACTCTGAGTTGATTTGTTCAACGATCCATTTGTTTGTTTTCTTGGCTGTCCATGGTATTCTCAAGAATCTTCTCCAACACCAGAGTTGGAGTCAGTACTCTTCCTATCCTGCTTCTTCAAAATCTGGGCAATGCATTAGTAGGGCAGTATTCCTTTCACGATCAATTTCTTGAGAGTTGGCCATAAACAGAATGGAGGACAGACAAACAGCATGATGTCCTGGGAGTCCAAGTGCTTCCAGGCACCTCCCTTAGTGCCCATTAGGTTCCATGCCCCATATAACATATATAACAAACTACTGGCATTGTATTCATTTCCACCAATATCTTTCAGCCCCCCAAATTCCTGGCTGCTAAGTCAGTTTCTGGTAAGAAGGTAGTTTAGGACTGGCCATGCCCATCACTGAAGCCATTTTATGACTGGAGAACTCTCATATGGCAGCCATTTTGTGTCAAACAGCCCCCCAGCCCAGTTAGTCTGCTTGGAGATGGATGTAGTGCTCTCATGTCTTCCTTGTGGTCTTCTTGGAGGCCTCTGTGGGAACCGGATAGTTGACTTGAGAAGCCTTTGATCTGACCCAGTCATCTTCCTCTTATGTTTTTTCAATATAAATGATAAGGGATTGTAAATGACTGGCAGAAGAGTTACTTCAAAGGAAGGGAATGTTCAGTAATGCCAGCAGATTGGAGACTCTGAAGACAGGGAGTGAATATTGAGCCAGTAGAGATCTATATAGTTTTTCAATACCAACGTCCAGAAGGGAGCTGCATATTTTATTACCCAGCAGAAGCACTGTGGCCTCTTATGGAATAATAATATGCACATCACCTCTCAGTTGCAGTTATTTATATTGAAAGTCACCTTTTCCCTCCAGGGAGAGAGAAAGAATCTCTACCAGTCAAGTGTTTTGAGTTGATACCAAGAAAAGATCTGTACAATTCAGAGGAAACCACTCCGAAAGTTGTGCAATAATTCAATGGAGAAAACTGAACAAAGCAATCTTTAGGGCTCAGAACAGTTCCCCCCTGCTTGGAGTTTAACAATCCCCACAGAGGGAGTGAGAATGTGTTGCCAATACAGGATTTTAGGCATGACTCTGGCATACCAATTTAGTGTACTTGGAACAACTTCACCTTGAAGACAGTCTGGGTCTGGAGAAAGAAAAGATACGACTGCATTAAAGAGTTTTAGAAAGATGCTGCATTCATCTTCCCTTGTGTGCTCCAAAGCAGCTTTTCCCAGTTGTTTCCAAAGTGCTGCAGAGCCCTGCTGTACTGTTTAGTCTTTAAAAAGTAACAGCCAAAGAGAGGTGGACAGGAACAAAGTATGTATCGTTTGCATAATGTTGTGAAAAACGGATAGAGAAAACGATGCGTTTTTATGATGCTGTTTTATTGGTTGCTCTGAGATGCCTAGATTACTGTGTGAGGTAGACAACCATATCAGTACTTTAAATAAATAAAATAAGTGAAATGAAATATGTTGTTTCTGTTGTGGACCTTGAGATGAACTAATTGATGGGAGATTCAGGATGCATAAAAGGAAGGGCTTCCTTACATAATAAAACTATAGAATTTGCTGCATGGGCCCCTCTCCTCTTTCTAAAAGACATTCTGCAATTTCTCTGAGTATCTGTTGCTGTAGGGCACTCAGCGAAGGAGATACTATTTGAGTATCATCTGCTTGTGATCTTCCATATGAGGATCTTATGGCACAGTAGGAAGCAGGAAGCTACAGTAGGTCAGCCTTTGCCATATCCACTGATCCCACTTTGGATCATGAGAATTACTTTTTTAGATCAGACAAGAGCCTCTGCAGCCCATAAAATGACCTCTAACAGGAAAATGTGAAGTGAGTGTTACTCTTTCTCTTTGGACAATGGATAATTGGTGATATGCTGCCTCTGAATGTGAAGGATCAATAGCAAATTGAAGTTTACAGTCACTGGTCACAGAGTAGGGGCTCTTGTTTCAGTATCTTAAACCAAAACATTTTTTAAATTTATAACATTCCTCCCCAACCCCCACCTCCCGCAACCAGGGCATGGTCTAGCCTCAATTAAAATTAACTATACACTATAATTGCACAACTGCTATAAATTCTATATGCATATACAAATAGTCACCAGCATAATTGCTACACTTAGAAAATTATAAAATCCTAAACCAAAGTGAACCCTGCAAACAACATTTAATTTGTTACTATATTGTGTTGCCTAGAAACAAACTTGAATCCTGAGATTTGGCCCAATGTCAGAATTCCTGGG